TCTCCTCCTTTTTGGCCCCAAATAAAAATCTTCAAAATAGCGCGAAATAAAAAGGAAAAATCGCTGTAGGATCGGACAAGCAAGCAAAGCAGGGGTGGCAAAGAAGAAAAACACAAGAGCCCCATAGGCAAAAGAGTCTGTTTCCTTTCCAACTCAAACTTTCCCTGTCCTTGTGTGTCAAGGGAGGGAGCAAAACAAAAGCAACAAGAATCTGTGTTGTGTGATCCCACACAAAAGCCCACGCAATGCGTAAGGCGAATCAAACATCTCCAATTCAATCGCTTGGCCATCGCGTTAAAACGACAGAAGTTGTTCTTGCCTTGCTTGAGCAATATGCATTTGTGCTATAATCTCTAGCAAAATGGAGGAACAATGCCACTAGTGAAAATTTTATAATAATTGCTTACAAATAATTATAGCCATGGGAGCGTTTGATACTTTATATACTTCTCCTTCTCCCTGTACATGGTGTCATTTTCGGGGATGCTCCGCATCAGCCACAATCACATTTTCTTTGTTGTGATCCATCAATTCCGAATTGAGAGCTTTCATAATGCTCCAGCTAGCACCAGGTGTTGTTTAATCACTCTTGTCATGGTATTTTGTTTAATGAAATCATTATGAATAGAATAGAAAAAAAATCCGGGCTGGGCCACATTGTTCAAACCTGAAATTCAAAGTCGCGGGCTCCGCTAGCCTTTATTATAGTAGAAAAAAAACTTACTTCGCCAAAAAAAATGAAGAATCTGTTAACTTCCTTGTGTTCGTCGATGAAGACAACAAGCAAACCAAGAAAAGAGAAAAGATAAAAGATAAATAAAAGCACCGCTGCAGAGCGAGCCCCGAGGCCATACCCGAGATTTACAAGCAACCAAAAAGGAAAGAAATAAAGAAACTAAAAAAAAAATAGAAACAAACACGCCGGCTGGCTGGCTGGCTGGCTTGACTCTCATGCACCACTACCAAAAAAGAAAATTAAAACACGATGAACGACGAAATCAGCACAAAAAAAAGAAGGAAAAAACAAGGGGAAACATTTAAAAAAATTTGAAAGGAAACCAAAAGAAAGAAAGGAAAAAAATTCTCGGTTGTTTGTGTTGTTTTCCAGTTAGAAGAAGCTGCTGCCCGCCACCTTTGCTGTCACGCATTCTTTCTTCCATTTTGTCTTTCATTTTTTTTTTTCCTTTTTTTTTGGTGATGTTGTTGCTGTTGCTGTTGTTGTTGTTGAATGAAGATGGCATTACGATCCCGGTAGCGAGATGTTGATATCAGTTCCGTGCCCACCACCTTGATTCTGCTGCTCATCACCTGGGCTGGAAGACCAAGCCATATGGTGGTGGTGGTGGTGGTGGTGGTGAACCGGCGACGAGTTATTATTGTTGCTGGCATTGCCATCGCTGCTGCTGTTGTTGGCATTGCTGCTGCTGTTGTTGGCGTTGGCACTGGCACTGGCGTTGGCATTGGTGTTATTCAAGTTGGTGGTGGTGGTGGTGGTGGTGGTGGCCATGGCGGTGGTGGCGGTGGCATGGCCAGCGTCGTTGAGAGGACTGGCTCCCAGCGGTGGCCTCGTGGCCGTGGACATGGGCGAGGCCATGGGCGAGTTCGCCACCCCGGACAGCATCTCGCTGGAGGAACCCGAGGTTGGGCGGACTTGGACTTGGGGTGGCTTGCGCGTCTCGGCTATAAAACTTCCTACGACGACCTGCAAGACGAGGCTCCGATCCATCATCACGAAAATCAAGAAAAAAAGAGTGAGCCATGAAGTGGATTGGATTGTGTTACCTGGACTGGGCTTGCGGCTACGAGCAAGCCCGCGACACTACCACCTATGACGCGTCCGTCGGGCCCGGCCAGCGAGACGCTCAGGCCGCCGCTCCTGCTCTTGGTGTTACCGTTCTCGGTGAGGAGGAAGGAACCCGAGAGTGACAAAATCTCGAAGCGTCCCTGCAAGGAGGGACCGATATTGGATATTGGACCAATCAGGCAAAACTATCCATGTTGATCATACCTCGTATGTTACAGTGCCCCCCGAGGTGGCGGGCTGGCGGAGTGTTACGTTAGAGATGGCCCCGTTTGCAGAGAGTACGCAGGTGGCCCGGGGCCCGATCTGCGCAAACGAGATGATCCTGGTCGCCACATCCTGGATAAGCGATCGCCGAGATTAAGATTAAGGTGGCAGACTTTGTGATTAAGTACCTCGCCTGCAGCAATTGTAATGACATGCGGAGTGAAGCCTTGACCTGCAGATCCTGCGAGCCACGCACCTGAAAGAGAGAAAAAAAAGAGGAAAAAAAAAAGGAGAAAAAGGGATCAAACCAAGGAAGAAAAGAGAGGAAAAAGAGGAGGAGATAAAGGGCAGAAAAGGAAAAGAGGAACGCAAATCAAATGGGAGCGACTCTTTTTTCTGGCACGAAAGAGATGGACTTGGATCCTGTCTGATCCCATGCAACAGTAAGTAGTAGCTAAACAGTGCCGGATGAATGCGCTCGAGGAGAAGAAGAGATAAAAACTACGTGGGCGATGGAGCACGCAAGCAAGCAAGCTGTCGACAATAGATCCCAAGGAAAAAAAGGAAACAAGCACAAAGATCCACCGATCATAATCTTCCACCCAAACACGACCATTCAAGCCAAAGCAAAGAGCCAAGCAAAGCAAAGCACGATTTTGATGATCATCCAAGCTTCCACTGCTAAGCTAAGAGAGAAGGAAAGAGAGAACGAGCAAAAAAAAACAAAGCTTTCTTCACTTACCCAAGGCGGCAAGCTGCTGCTTCTTGCCAGTGCCCGGCGGCCTCCCTCGCTTCTTCTCCCCCGAGGCTGGCGGAGGAGTGGCGGCGGCGGTGGCGAAGGGGAGCTGCGACGCGGCGGCGGCGTTGGAGGCGGCGGCTAGCGGCGCGAGCGCGAGCGCGACGCCCAGCGGGCTGGGCGGGGTGGGCAGCCCGGAGATGGCCGAGATGCCCGACACCGGTGGCGGGGATGGATTGGGCAGCGGCGGCGGCGGCGAGGAGCCCATGATGAGCACTGGCGACTGGCTTGACGTCGTCCCCTCCACATACTTCCTGGGCCTCCCGCGCTTGCGCTTGAGCAAGGGACCGCTGCCCAGCGTCAGCGCCGATCCGTGAGAGAATGGGCTGCCGCTGCTCATCGCCGCGCCCGCGCTCGCGCTCGCCGTGCCACCACCGCTGGATCCATTCCCATTCCCATTGTTGCTGCTGCTTTGCTGCTGCTGGATCATCATCATCATGGGTGGTGGTGCCATTGCAGCTCCTCCCGGGGGCGACGACGAGGAACTAGGGTTCTTGCTGGAGCTGGATCCTCCTCCTCCTTCTCCTCCTCCGGGCAATGGTGGTGCTGTGGCGACTACAGGGGGATCGGGCGCGACTGTTCCTCGCCTCAGATCGATGCTCGTCTTGCAGTCCGCGGCGGCGTGGTTGCCGGCTGTGAGGAGCGGAAGCGCCGCGAGCGAGGGAGGAGTAGCAGCGCTAGCACCGCCGGAGGGATCCTTCGCTTCCATGCAGCATATGAGAGAGGGAGATGAGAATGGCGAGAGCAAAGCGCGCGCGCGAGGGGATAGAGATGGAAGGATTCTTCGTCTTCCTCCTCCCGGCTCTTTTGGACTTTTAGATTCGACTGCTTCCACTCCCGCGATCTTCCACCCTTTTTGTTTGCTTCTCAATCCCTTGTCACGATCTCTTCCCTTCTCGCCCTTGGGGATCAAGCAATCAATCCATCATTTCCCTGTTCTAGCTCACGATCATCACCAGGAGAAAAAAGGAGGAGGAGCTTCTCACCGCCTGGTCTTAACTCCATCTCCAGCTGCATCGCCTCCGCGCCACCTCTTCACCGGATTTGGATTCGATCATGGCTGGCTGCCCTCGAACCGGAAAAAAAAAAAACGCGAGAAAAAAAGAGAGGAAAGAAAACAATATATAACAAAAAAGGGGGAAAAGAAAAGAAACTGCTCCCCCTGGAGCAATCTCACTTGGAATTAAGATGGAGCAAAAGGAGAGAGAGAGATTGTAAGTGATGTGAATCAAAATCAATCAATCAATCAGCTTTGTCTTTGTTGGTATGGCCAGGAAGAAGGAGGAGAAGAAGCTTGCTAGGGTTTATATATATCTGGAGTGGAGTGTGCCTGGATTTTGGTGGATGGGCCTATTTGATGATCTTGCCAGTCTCTATTGTGTCTGTGTACTTCCCTTTCATACTCTATACTCTCAAATGGGAGGGAATTGAGAAAATGGACATGGCCTCAAACAGGGGAGGGTCCCAAGATTGTCAAAGAATCTAGCCCCTCTACGCCGTATATGGACTGGTATTATACGCGGGAGTATTTATACCTTGGCGCGCCACCTGCATACGATCTTGACCGCGCATTTCCGGAATTTGCACGGCGATTCCGGGTCAGAATGGGTCAGGCGATGCAGGGCTGACGGGCATTGGATTTGGATATTCTGGGGCTGGCAGTGGGTGCCTTTTCCACTCGTGCACCCCTGCCGTATTACGCCCCCTGGTCATATGGTCGCAAATGGCCCATGGGGTTTGTTGTACGGTGGCACTATGCACATGCTTCAAGCATGGAGCGGGCTGCGATTTTGAATTCTCTCCGGAAAAGCGATACGTCTTTTACTTTATGGTTTCCGATGAAATAAGAAAAGCCTTTTCTCTTTTTAATATATGAAAATTTATTAGTTTTTTGCGCGAGATTCATTTGTGTCTCTCTCTAGATTATTTTATTTCAGAGATTATCACACCTTGTCGTTCTCTTGGGACGTTCACATCGCTAATAAAAATAGTAAACACCAGGGCAAATAAAAATTGTAATGGAAGCAAGGTATTGGATTTAAATATGGTAAAGGCGTGATTGCTATTTGGAAAAGGAAACTTGTTGGTGTTTTAAGGAGATGAACTTGGAGTTGTGTGCAGGATAAGAATTGGTGTCTATGAGACTCGAAGAACTTTTGAGTAATTTTTAGAAATCATCATCTTCCTCACACTCACACACACAAATAATATAGAAACTGTGAGGAGCATCTTTCATAGATTTTATAATGTTTCAGACTTCCATTGAGAGATGTGAAATGTAACTTGAACTCTAAACTTATGAAATGCTAAAATATTTTGCAAAAGCAAGATTGAAGGAACAGGATAAATAAATAAATATAAGAAATAAAAAAATAATAACAATTCTACCATATGCCTGCTTGCTGGCGAGACTGATCAACTCCAACTAACACTCCACTAATGCAAATACAAATGTTTGTTTGAGCCTTTTTGGAGTTTTCAGATGCCATTTGCTACAGAAAGGCATGCACAATAAATACAAAGTAAAATATGTTTATTATAAAAGAAATCTTAGAAAATGGAGGAAGCTGGCATATGTTGAATTTGAACACAGTTGATTCAAAGTCTAAAGACAGGCCAAAATAAAAATGACACACATAGTCCCCTATCAAGAGACACAATTATAGGAAAGATCCACTTGTTTACACTAAACTTTGCTTTCAAACTTTCTCTAAATGCACCAACAATTATACAGAGGCATAGTATTGACCCTTTGCACTGGCATTTGGGCAGTCCCCCGAAATTTTGCATGTTCCTTGAGGACTATAGAAACCACTTTCCTGAATTTGGGACAAGCAAATTGGGGGAGGGCTTGATTGATTTGCTTTGAATAATGTTGTGTTTCTTGACTTGGAGAACATATGAGCTGTCTTGAGAAAAAATAAATATATTTCAAATGAATGCAATGGGCCTTCTTTTTTCTTGAAGAACGAAAAGCTTTAACAAATAAAAAGAAAAGAAAAAAAAGGAGAGTAGAGCCCCAAGCAAACTCCAATAAAAGCTACTGTTGTTTGTAGTGGAATGGGATGAATACACCATCCAACCAAAAGCCTAGCCTAGAAGTTTGAGTTTTGGCCACTTTTTTATTTCCAGGATTTTGGTAAAGTATGAAAAAGGCCTTGTTTTTTCCCTTTGCCAATTCTTCAAGCCAGAACAATTTAGAAAACGTATGCATTTATTCCTTGTGGTAATAATACAATTTGGCTTTTCTTTCTCTGCACTATTTCTAGTTCTTGTAGCTATGAAAGGAAGAAAAAAGAAGAAGAAAAAATATGGCTAATACTCCTCACCTTCGTCCTCTCCCTCGCCATCAGCGGACTCGGCGCCAACTTCCTCGTAATCCTTCTCCAGAGCTGCCAGATCCTCGCGGGCCTCGGAAAACTCCCCCTCCTCCATCCCCTCGCCAACATACCAGTGCACGAACGCGCGCTTGGCATACATGAGATCAAACTTGTGATCCAGCCTCGAGAACACCTCGGCAACGCTGGTGGAGTTTGAGATCATGCACACGGCACGCTGGACTTTGGCGAGATCACCGCCGGGAACCACAGTCGGGGGCTGATAGTTGATACCGCATTTGAACCCGGTGGGCGACCAGTCCACAAACTGGATCGTCCTCTTGGTCTTGATGGTTCCCACTGCGGAGTTGACGTCCTTTGGGACGACGTCGCCGCGATACATGAGGCAGCAGGCCATGTATTTGCCGTGGCGCGGGTCGCACTTGGTCATCATCGACGCCGGCTCGAACGCCGTGTTTGTGATCTCGGACACCGACAGCTGCTCGTGGTAGGCCTTCTCGGCGGAGATAACCGGCGCATACGACGAGAGCACGAAGTGGATGCGCGGGTATGGCACCAGGTTGGTCTGGAACTCGGTGATATCCACGTTGAGAGCACCGTCAAAGCGTAGAGAGGCAGTGAGAGACGAGATCACCTGGAAAGAGAAGAAAAACTCGTCAACTTTTCTCTTGTTTTATGGGTTCTCTTTCTATACCTGCGAGACCAATCTGTTCAAGTTGGTGTAAGTCGGCCGCTCGATGTCGAGAGATCGTCTACACAGATCGTAGATGGCCTCGTTGTCGAGCATCACGGCCACGTCTGTGTGCTCGAGCAACGAGTGCGTCGAAAGGACGCTGTTGTATGGCTCCACCACGGCCGTGGAGACTTGCGGCGAGGGATAGATGGTGAATCCCAGCTTGGACTTCTTGCCGTAGTCCACCGAGAGGCGCTCCAAGAGGAGGGAGCCGAGGCCGGAGCCGGTGCCACCCCCGACTGCGTGGAACACGAGAAATCCTTGCAGCCCGGTGCAGTTGTCCGCCAGCTTCCGTACTCGATCGAGGCAGAGATCGACAATCTCTTTCCCAACTACAAGCAAAAAAAGAAGAAGCCATGGATCAATCACACAGGAAGGAAAGAGAAAGAGAAGATAGCTTACTTGTGTAGTGTCCTCGAGCGAAGTTATTGGCCGCGTCTTCCTTTCCGCTGATGAGCTGCTCGGGGTGGAAGAGTTGGCGATACGTTCCCGTCCGGACCTCGTCGATCACAGTGGGCTCCAGGTCCAGGAACACGCAGCGGGGGACGTGCTTCCCCGCGCCGGTCTCGCTGAAAAAGGTGTTGAATGCATCGTCGCCTCCTCCGATTGTCTTGTCGCTTGGCATTTGGCCATCAGGCTGCGATAAAAAATGGTGTAAGCTCCAAAAATTCGTCTCCAAAGTTTCGTTCTTACTTGGATGCCATGCTCCAGGCAGAAGAGCTCCCAGCACGCATTTCCAATCTGGATGCCGGCCTGGCCAATGTGGATCGAGATGCACTCTCTCATCTTGGCCGGACGAAGAACGAATCTAGAATTGGACGAAACGAGCGCAACGACGACGAGGCAACGAGTTCCTCGGAACTGCGCTGCTCCTTTTATACCGATCCGGCGGTTACTGTAAAAAGCGCAGGCCCGGCGCGGTAAAAAGCACCAGCCTTCGCAGCGGGAGCGCCGGTTTTACCCGTTTTACCGCGGCAACCGCCGCCATCTTCATGTGAAGCGGACAACGCGAAACGGCGGTTAAAACGCCCGCTGAACTGTCAGCCGGCAACCGTATTTTTCTGCCAGCGTGGACACAACCTAAAAAATTAGGGCTAGGGCTTTCACCAAAAGGAAAGAAAAAGAATTTATAAAGAAAAAGAGAAACGCAACAAAAAAAGGAAACACTCATGAGAGCGAAAATAAAAAAATTAATAAAAGAGGGGAAAAAAAGAGAGAATAGAGAGAAATAAAACCACCCCTAATTGTGACAGTGAAGAGGGGGGAGGGAATCCAATGTGCACAGCCAGACAGACAAGCCCCCTTTCCTTTCTTCGCTTGATCCACACTGACTTATTTTTCCACCTGGTGTAAGCTCTGCCGCGCGCGCGGCGAGTTCTTCTTCCATTATCTCCTCTTCCAGATCGTCAACCATCTGCGCTTGCTGGCCCTTCTCAGCAAATCCCATTCGAGCGCCTCCAGTCGATCAATGCTCGCTCGCCCTGCCAGCCATCGCCCAGAAAGCCTTTGATATCTGTAACGCTCGCGGAGCTCCATACTAAAATCTTTAGTTGGCAGCTTTGTAGTTTCTTCTTCTTGTTCCAGAAGCCACTTCGATCTGTTCTATGCCCCTCCCCCAATTCGTTCGTAGAACTCGTAGCTCCCTATCCCTGTTTAGTTTCTTCTTCCCATCCTGCGAAATCTATAACCTTCTACCACCCCAGCTAGACCAATTCTTATAGCTAAAGCAAACACACTTGCCTGGAATCCAATCGAGAGATGTGTGTGATCTAGTTCACTTCTCTCCGGCAGTGAGCGATGGTGGAGCAGCCGCGCTTGTAAGGATTGGCGGCGCCACCGCGGTTGCATCGAGGATTGTAGTACGAGTTGCCCGACATTGGAGGGCAGGGCACTCGATCCGCCGTTAGCGAGCCATAGCTGATGTAGGTCTGGCGGCTCGCAAGAAATCTGCCATGAATTTCCGTATCCAGCAAGAATTCGTCGATGCCGCCACCACCGCCAACGCTGCCGCCGCTGCCCAGGCCCTGCGAGCTCGACGTTCGCACCGCCAGGAGCGCACACACTACCGCTAACAAGCACAGGCGCCAGTGCTTGCTGATGATGGAGCTGGCCATCTAGGGATTGAGAAAGAACCAAGTGTGAGCGGCGAGATAAGTATCGATCGATGCTGTGCTTGCTGTGGAAGAAAGAATCTTACCTTCTCATGAACAATGCTGGACGGATCGCGTGCCCCAAAACCCTCCCCCCTGGCACCGAAATATCGATATTTCTTCCAAGATCCGGCCCCGGGACTGCCAAACCGCGCCGCGGCGCCAAGATCCGCCGCGAATCGGATGCAAGGAGGCGAGCGATCTGGAATGTAGCTAGCTAGAATCTGGCTCCAGCTCTGGGTGCTCGAAATCGCCACGAAATCCCCGTGCCGCCAAGAACGCGCTAGAGGAGGAGAGCAACACAGCAATGCCAACCTAGCTAGCGCTCTCCCTTCTCTTTCTTTCTCTCTTCTCTTTCACGCGGAGGCGCCGAAAGGAAGACTAAAGCGTTTCCAAGAACAGCAAATACTCTGGCCAGCTTCGGGGCCAGGCTCGGGCGAAACTGCAGGCTCGGAACTGACGGCTCCGTCTGCCGACCCTCCGCCTCGCAGGTGCCAGCCTGGCAACCGTTCCGCTCCGTCTCCGCCGGCACCGGGATATTCTATCCCCGCGGGAAAACGGCGCATATTCTAATCACCCAACGCTAACAAACCATAGCCACATGAGAGATTTTGGTTGATGGCTACAGCCTTGTCGCTCATTCAAAGTTCTCGCCAACTTTTTCCTTTGATCTTTGTGGAGAAAGGAAACAATGCAAGCAGGCAAGCAAGCTGTGTGCGCGTGTTGCGTGTGGTGGTTGAAAAAGCCGCGCATTTGTATCGTATTATGAGATGCCGCCAACCATCACCGTCACCACCACCACCATTGCTATACCCCTCACCGCCACCACCCCTCACCACCGCCACCATCACCACTTTCTCACCACTTCTCACCACTACTTTCCCACCACCTCCACCACTTCTCACCACCACCACCATCACCACTACTGCCCTCACCACCACCACTTTCTCACCACCGCCACCATCACTCTCCCACCACCAACCACTACCACACAACATACCACATTTCACCACGTGCACCACCACCACCACCGCCGCCGCCACCACCTTTCATTGCAAACGTGTCTCCTTTCATTTAAGTCTCTTTCCCTCTCGAGGACGAGCAAAAACTTTGCTCCCTGCCACTGTGAGAAAACAAAATCCACCTAATTCACAGCAGCAGCTTTCACGACGACATGAATGGAAAGGAATTTGAATGAAATGGTGTCGCTCGATCGTAAGCCTGTAAATATTTATACATACAGCCAGCGTCTTTGATGGATATATGATGACGAGCAGCGAGCAAGAGAGAGAGAGTTATCGAGTTCTTTCGACTTCTTTCCTGGCCTGGAATGCTCAGTGAATTCACAAACAGTCTTCTACCAAATGTAACGCCGAATGTAACACGAGAGAGAGAGAGAGAGAGAGAGGAAAAACAAAACAATCCTCTGATGGGACCGGTACCTCTACATTTGCGTCGTCGTCGTCTTCCAAGCTTGTTGTCGTTGCGAATGTTCTCCACTTCATAGCAAGTGTCTCCCGAGGAAAGAAGCGACAAGGCAGGCCGTGACGAGCTGGAGTCCGGGAAGAGTGCCTGTACTGGAGCTCCGAGTGGAAGATGGAGCCGGAGCTGGAGGCTGCGCAAGCGAAGGGAGCGGCGGCTCCGCTACGTCTAGTGCTGGAAATGGCGCACCCGCGGGCGGGGGAGCCAGGCCCAGATCACCCGGCAGTATAAGTGGAATCGGAGAGCTGCTGCTCGAGCCTCGAGAAACACAGCGATTAGCTGCAAACAAAGGTAGAGACAAACAAATGTGTAAGTGCATCCATAAAGCTCCAACAAAACAAAACTTACTCAAGTATGACTTTGCAGTCTCGGGGAAGTCGGTCACAATCCCGTCGATGTCGTAAAACTGCACGTAAGTGTTGAGCTCCAGAGTTGGATCCGCAAGAAAGTCGAAGGGTATGGTAGTAAACGGATTCCTGAAGTATACAACGACCACGGATAAGCTGTGGTTGTGCACGCGTTCTACAACGTCTGTGGGCACGGTGAGAAACGAATCAGCAGTCGGACTGACGAGAGATCTCGGAACGGCTACACCGCTGGCAAACTGCTTAATTTCTTCCAGTACCGCGTCTGTCAACGTCTTGTTTCCCGGAACGCTGTATATTAACTCAGCCGAGACAAGATTGCGAAGCGCTCGCAAAACGGTCGCGTCCTCGGATTGAATTACCACATTTGAGGTGTTGGTAAATCCTGCCTGTCTTAAAGCCGCTGAGACAGCTGCTACCGTATCAATGCCAAATGTTCCATTCAGAAGATATGCTCTCTGCAATAACAATGCAAATAAGATCTGAAACATGCAATGCAAGCTAAGCGAGGAAGATACCTGCAAGACCAAATAAACGCCAACGTTTGGGCTGTCCTTAGTAATGTTCAGAAAGTCGGATAGCGTGAGAAGACTCTGGGTACCATCGTTTGCTTTGTTTCGTACAATAGCACTTTCGGGATTGTATATTTTGGCTGAAAGCGATTTTGTAACTAAGGAGAAAACCATGCAATGAAAACCAGACCTTTCAGCGACTTGATTTCGTCCCATGTGAAATCAAACGTGAAAATCCCGGGTGCGTCTTGCAGGGATTCATAGGTCTTCGTGCGCGATAGCAGTGGAGTGGCACTTACATCTGTGTTGAGTAGAAGGTCAGGTGATTGTGTACATATAGCCACTCCATCTTTGGTCATCTGAACGATGCAATCGATGTAATCGGCTCCCTTGCCGATCGCACTGCTATAAGCAAGACGAGTCGAGCCGGGATAATTTCCGCTGTCTCCTCCGTTGTGGGTTATAACTCGCTTGCTTTTAAACGGTGCAATCACTTTATCTGATAGCAGCAGACAAGTGAGTACCCTGTCATATCAAAATGATAAATTCAGATATGCCTACCACTCGCTTCCGGAGATTTTCCACCATTTTGGTTCCCATAACAATCTATAAAACAAGCGAAACCATTCATAAAATAAATTGCGGAGACAGAATTATTACCTATTGCCAGAGATGCTGTTGTTGGAAAGTCCGAAGAAACGCCATCGACGGCAAAACTGGGATCATCGATAAAGTAGAGTATCTCTCTAATAGGATCGAAGCTGTAGTTGTAGCTGTTAGGATATTGATCGTTAGCAAAACCGAATGCATGTACTTCAAGCCTTGCCCGGTGAGCATCTTGGACAATAGTGGTAGGATTTTCCAAGAGAAGCGTAGTCGGATTGAAGGTTCTTATCAAACTTTTGGATACCAGAATTCCAGATGTCAAGGTTCTAATGTTTGTGAGGTTTGCCAATAGAGCTGCATACGTCTGATTCGTTGTCGGTTCAGGGTCCGTAAGATCATTAACCTTCAAAACGATTTTTGTTCTGCTTCTACTGCTGGCACGAGAGCGCAGGGTCCTGAGAAGTCCCAGCTCAGGCGTAGAAATGTAGTCAGGGGAAAGATTTCTTAAAGTTGACAACACGTAGGATGTCATGTTGATCTTCCGATCATCATAAAATTTACAGTACTGAGAAAAAAGAAAGAAAACACATCAGCCAACGCAATCATTTTCTTAGACTTATACCTCAACGTTCAGCCAAAGCAGGCCCGGCAGTCCAGTCGTATTCGTATAGCTAGCCAAAAGCCCGGCAACCATATCGGGAGACGCAAGCGGATCGCCATCGAAAGTAGCAGGACGACTGAGAGGTCCTTGTCTAGCTGCAGAAAATCACTTAACATTCAGGAACGAGCAACGAACAGAAACATACCCGTGACGTTGCTCAGCTGGATGGACGTGAAGTCCACGGCAAAATAGCCATTGATAGGCTCGCCATTGACAATGTAAGTGGAGTTAGCTCCTGGAAAAATGTCCCCGATGTTCGTGGTGGCTTCCAGGCCGATTTGCGTTCTGCAAATGGGCTGCCCGTCCTTGGAGAGCTGCAAGTCACAGTAGAGCGCAATGCCGCCGGAAGTTTTCTTGAGCGCATCGGCGTAGGATCTTAAGGTCTGGTCGGAGAAAACCCCCGACTGGCCATTGGAGATGACGAGAGGCTTGGCACCTGAAAGAGGGACGATTTTAATGGGGATAGAAAGAAGCGAGCACCTAACGTACCCGTTAACGTTTTCCACGAAGACCCCACCGGTGTGGCGGATGGCGCTGGCGCTGGACCTCGCTGCGCTCTAGCTACCGAAATCACAACCGCCGCAAGGAGAAGCGCGCGGAGCGAGCGGCGATACCAGCACATTTTCAATCGGAAGACGACTCGCGAGCTCTTCCTGATCAAGAATCGCAATGAGACACGAATTTCCAGGCCGGATCGGCCAATGCAAGCACAAAGATCGCTGGCAAGAGAGAGATTTCGAGCCGCATTACCTGATATCCCCCGAGAGACTCAAATGCCGATGGCGCGCGCTCCTGCGCGATCGATCGTCTGGCGACAGACCTAGCTAGATCCTCCTTCGCCGCGTTGATCCCATTCCATTCCGCGGCGAGCAGCTGGAGCGCACAGTAAGTACACAGGGGATGAGACCAAGTTCCCTAGAGAATATTGGAGCCAGAAGCTTCGATGCCAGCGTATCGTCCATCTGGTGGCCATTCTGGCTCAGGGATTCCGTAAAGGCCAGACGATGGGCGGCTGCGATCACGTCGAAGAGAACCCGCCACGTTCCTGACGCCCCAGTCCTTTCGTGCAGATTCACGTTGAGACTCGCGCGTGGGACCATCTGCCACGTGGAGCTCCACTGCTCCCCGGATATTCTCCAAATATCCACGCACCCGGCATTTTCTCTTGCGAGCGAGTGAAATATCCGGCCTGGGAAGTCAATAGCCAGCTACGAGTTTGTTTGTTTGGAAGTACCGCCAGTGATGAAAGAGATTGCGATCTGTGATATGCATTCATGGAGTGGCATTCATGTGAAAACTAAGAGATTTTTTTTTTTCCCCAGCTTCACTGTCTCTCTGGACCGGAATGAACGGACATTCTTTTATCGACAGGGACTCAAATCGATCAAGGCTGGAGAAATAACGAAGAGAGAAAATATATCATCTTTTGGCCTTGGCAGTACCTTGGAATTGAATTAGAATTGAGAGAGCAGTAGTTTCATATGACACACTTCCTTGTACCTTTTGTCTCTTTGATCTGGAAACTGAAACTTTGAGCTTGAATCCACCACGGCTTTCATGGCACCAGGAAAGGACCATATAAAAAATATAGAGTCGCAATCCGTGGACTACAGGGGCACTTTGTACTTTTTCCTTTGCTTTTGGCGTAAAGTTCTGAGTCAAAAGAGCGAACCCAGTGTTCACGCTCTTTTCTTGTAGGGAATTTTTCTCGCTCGATCGTGTCTAGCGAGACTTTGATAGTTAGAATTTTACAGCCGCTTTGATTGCGTCTAAAACCTGGAAGTAAATGGAGAGAGAATAAAAAATGGTTGTCAAAGCCGCGGATCAAGCCGTGCTTACTTTGTTTGCTGTAGGCATGTAGAATGGCTCAAAGACAAGAGGAAACGGCGTGTCAAGGCCGCATACTCTCGCAATCGGGGCCTCGAGCTGTCCAAGAAGATCCAAACAAAAAAGCACCAACGAATTTCAGCCGAAGAACAAGTAAACTTAATGTACCCGTAGAAAACAACGCTCCGCAATGGTTGCTGCGATCTCTGCGCCAAAACCTCCAGTTACTGGCGCTTCATGGCTAACCTGAAAGTTTCGTGTTAACGTAACACACCAAAAACACAACAAAAAAGAAACGTTAATTTGCGAAGACTTACTATCAACTTCCCCGTTTTGTTCACCGAAGCTTCCACGAGTTCCTTGTCCCATGGAATGAGAGTTCTCAGATCAATGAGCTCACACGAGATTCCTTCCTGGAAGAACACAAACTTGGTCACCTTTTGCCGAAAGAAACACGAGCACAGTACCTTTTCGGCCTCGGCGCATGCTTGCTGCATTACTGCGAGTTGCGCTCCCCACGCAACTAGTGTAATGTCTGTCCCCTCGCGTATCACCTGCGAGCCCGAGTTAGTGCACAGAATGAATCGTTTTTAGTTCTCCAACGGTGTACCTCTGCGTTGGACAAAGGAAGCATGTAATCTCCCTCTGGAACCTCGTCCACGGATAGACGATACAGCCACTGGAAATGATCGACATCCATCAACAATTATGAGAATTTTCCCGTAGAGAAAGTGGACGTCCTTCCTCAATCCTCACCTTCGGTTCGAAAAATATAACAGGATTCGGGTCTCTGATAGAAGCAAGCAACAATCCTTTCGCTTGTGACGGATTCCTTGGAATCACCACCTGACAAAAGAAGAACCTTTGCCATTAAAGCCATCTTGATTGAGCATACCTTTAGACCAGGAACATGGCAAAAAAAAGCTTCTGGGGACTGGGAATGATAGTGGCCTCCATGTCCTACGGCACCATACGGAGATCTTACAGTGAGACCTGCACAACTAGTCAAGCACACACTTTTGTGAGTAGTAAATAGTACGAGCAAAAAGGATAGAAAAACAGACAGTTCTCACCTCCACAATTAAAAGCATTTCCGCTCCTGTACCGGAACTTTGCAGCTTCGTTCACGAGCTGAGCCATAGTTTATTTTAGATTTTCATCGAAAAGCAAGCCAGGTACTGTCAACTTGCCTGATCAAACGCTGGGAAAATGTAGTCTGCGAACTGGATCTCGGCGATAGCACGATTTCCCTGCAAACTCAAGACTTGGAGTTAGCCAGGAAAAAGAAAAGAAGTATCGTCATGTCTAACCATAGCAGCAAGACCAATTCCAAATCCAACGAGTCCCTGTTAAGGAGAGAAAGCAACTTTTCAATCGTCGAACAGTTTTTTTTTTTTTTTTTCTTTGTGATCCATTGTTACTTGCTCGCACAAAGGAGTGTTGAAAACTCGATGCGTACCAAACGCATCCGCCAGCCCGCTAGTGCACCTAAAAACTCCACCGAATTTAACATCTTCTCCAAACACGTAGGCCCTGCCCAAGGAATTCCCGTGAAAATTTTCATGAAAGAAATGCTACAGCGATTTCTTGCCTTGGATCCGATTCCAGCGCAATGTGAAGCGCCTCGTTCACTGCCGAGAAGAGATTCATGCGCTTCGTCTCGCATGGAATTGTGGCGGAAGAAGGAGAAGATGAAGAAGAGAACGATCGGCGCCCAGAGAGAGCTCCAAATACCCTACCGTGAAACCGCCCCATTCTTGAATCGGCTGGAGCGGATTGATTGCCCTACCTAAGACGCTTCTCACCTGACTCGACTGAGTTATCCATGAGCTACCCGTACGAGAAAGTCTTCCGTATCCACGAGTTTAGGGTTTATAGAATTAGGGTTTATCAGGAATGGGGCGGTGCCCGAATCACAAGAAGCCGGCGAAGAAGAAATACTCCCACAAGAGCGCGCGGCGGGCCAAATTCCTGGTCAAGGATATCCTTTTTGCTTCTCTGATGATTGGTAGGCATTGGTGGTGTTCTCCTTGACAGATTCCAGGCACGCGATGATATGATCTATTCGGAGGTGAAGAATTTGGAGTCGTCTATGGACGAAGGGGCGCCCGCGCGAGCTCGAGACGAGGATCTCCCTGGAATGGGGCAGTTCTACTGCTTGCATTGCGAGTTAAGCGCCGATTCCTTGTCTTTCATTCTTTATAAACGCTTGCTTCTTTCAGCCGGTATTTCTCGTCGTCTTCCATCATGGAAGAGCATTTTAAGACCAAACGGCATAAGAAAAGGTTTGTTTTTTCTCCCTTGTTCTTTGCGAGGCCTGCTTTAATCTTCTTTCACCTCTCGATAGAGTGAAGGCCATGCAAGGCCCAGCTCCACATTGTCAACTAGACGCGGAACTCGCGGCTGGGCAGGGCAAACCGGATAACGGGCCAAAGCTCGGAGTTGTATCCTCGTAAGAAACTTCTGAATTCTCACTAACTCTTTTGCAAACCATACGCTTGCATTGAAATTTTTCTCGCAATGAGGAATCAAAGGCCGGTCTGAAAGCCACCCTGCAGCAGCAGCTGCTAGAAGGAGGCTCTTCTCTGATGACCATTTCCAGCTTGAAAGGTCTTGTCTCTGAGCAATAAAAACATGCTTCTGCTTTTCCTCACTTTGAGAAACGATCTCCTTTGAAGTAACTTGCCAAATTTAAGATTTAAGATTCACAGACGAGTATTATTCTCAAGAAAAAACAGAAAACGAAATAACAAAGAGGAGTCCATTTTGATGTTCATGTTTTGATCTAGTGAGTTTCTTGGTGTTCATGTTGTGATCTAGTAAGATTCTTGAAGAGGTTGAGTTAACCCATCTGATGGATTGTAGATCAAAACGTAGAGATTGATGGATGCAGCCAGTGTCACCCTGGATGAAACAATGTAATTCTTTTATTTCTAAGAAGTGCAGCCACTTACCAGAGAATGTATGGTATAAGTAAATATGCAGCTGCATGACTCACTGGCCAGAAGAGGATAATAGTTGCAAGGATGGCCAGCCACAGCAGAACTATTTCAGCAAATGCGAAATCCTGTGACAACACACTGTCAGCCAGGAGCAAAAATTTCACAAGCGCCAACTTACAAATCGATGGTAGCCGAAAAAGATTGGCGTCCATGCAAAGTTTAGTATGAGCTGCAACAACCACAAATGAAAACTCAGCTCTTTCTTCTGAATAAAAACCAAAAGTGAGGAATTTTATAACCTGAACGATGTAAATGGCTAGAGGAAGCGCGTGCCTCTTAAAACCTGGAAACGAAGGAAAATTTACAGGAAAGAACTTGTGATGAGATGCTTCTCAAAGGTTTCTAATTACCTCCATCTTTCCAGACAAGCCAGGACGCGATCCCCATGAGAATGTAGAGAGCTGTCCACATTACAGGAAAGACCCAGCTCTGGCACAAGCAGAGAAAGAAGTTAGAAGAAACAAGTGAGGGATTTTTCCATTTTACCGGAGGCGTCCATGGAGGCTTGTTGAGCTGCCTGTACCAAGCTGCAAGAACATGGGAAATTTAAACTTGGGCAACTGAGACTTTGGGCGATTGAAACTTACGGCTCCAAATTTCGCTCCCGCAAATCCTCCGGCCACTGGGATGGCTATCGCCACGATCAGCCCCAGAATCGCTCCCCAATCCATTTTTTTTTCAGCAGCTTTATCCGCTAGCCTAAACACCAAATCTCCTCCCTCGCGTTTAGAAGCTAATTTAATAATCTTGAGTAACATACTGTATAAAATCACCATTAAAGAAGATTTATAAAGGCTTGTAATGACTGAGTTCGTGTCTACCATCTTGAGTTCGCAACAACAACAGACTCTCTCACTATCGCCTGAAAACACCGGAGACCGTTTGCTCCACATTTTTAAGAAATGGGGTTGGAGCTCAAAAATGGTGTGGCTCTGGATGAAAATTTGCTGTCAGTCCGGCCTCCAGGAGAGGTTTCTCCATCTTTTCATCCATGAAAAGATGGAGAAACTATTGGACCACTATCAGTGAACTTGCAAGCTTCTTGAACGTTTCGACACTCGCATACATCCTCCCGCCAGGTTTGAGGCCGGTTGGGGTGGCCATGAGGTGTGACAGTGCTGTGAGGTGTAATTGTAGTGTTGTGGAACTACTTGCATTTACCAGTTCAGTGATTTAGTACCAACTCAGTTTACTATGTTTTTCCAATCGTGGTGGGGAGAATTCTTGACGATCAGAGTTTGGGGTGTGGCGCGGGCGGTAGTGATGTCTGGAGAGTTCTATATATCGGAAAAAAACAATTAGTTTTCAAGATCCAACCACTTGCTTGTTGAATGTTTGAAATTCTTAAACCAAGAAACCATGTGCTATGTTTCAGCCACTGTACAGCTGACTTTGCATATCTATAAGATGAAGACATAACTTCAAATCAATTTGGTCTGGCTCAAGAGGGGTATGGGTATTCTTCAGAAGCTGAGTCTAGCTTTGTTCATCATTGTCTACATCTCATTTGTGTTCATGACAATAAGCTCTTCAGCAGCCATGTTCCAAGGTAACAAGGAAGCCAGGTTTTGATGTTGAATCTAATCATCTGACCATTTCAGATGGGCGTTGTATACGTTGTGGTAACAAAAAGTGCTGTGGAGGAAGTTCATGCCGAAGTAGAATCGGAGGGATTGGTGAATGTATCGATCCATGAGGACCTTGGAGATCTTGCAGGTTTAATACATGTTTTTTCTCTCTTAATCTCTTTGGGTGTTCTTCTAGATGACTGAATTCTCTGTTCTGTGAAGCTCTTCCTCTTCTTTCTTGAGAAGAAGCTAAATCTCTGGAATCCAAAGAAAAACTGGAGCTCTACCTTTAAGCCTGAGAGCAGCTTTGGATCTGAATCTCGTCCAAACTCAATCTGCGGTGGCAAAGCTCGAGCAGGATCAAAGTTTCTTGAATGTAGAAGATACTGAAACAAACGCAGCGGCTTCTTCTTGAGAAGAAGCTAAATCTCTGGGATCAAAAGAAAACCGTTAAGGCTTTGGATCTGGATCTCGTCCAAACTCAATCTGCGTCGACAGAGCTCGAGGGGGATGAAAGTTTCTTGAATAATATTTATGTAACACACAATGTAGCGGGAACATTGTAATGTCATTTAATTCAATGCTGGAAATGAGATGTGCTGCGTTACCCATGCCCGGCCTTTCTTGCTTCCACACCAAACCAGGGATGCGGAATATGCTCCGTTGCTTCGAGCCTGTGGGAATTCCAGAAGCCTCGCACACGCGAGACAGCTTCACGCCCGGATTTGGAAGCAAGCGACGACCACATTTGTTGATAACTTGATCGTCGAAATGTATGGAAAGTGCAGCGCGATCGATGACGCATGTTTTGTTTTCGAGAGCATTCGTAAGCGGAATGTTTTCTCGTGGACAATGATGATTTCCGCATTTGCCCAAAATGGGCATTTTTTATCTGCGCGTTTGTGCTTCTGGAAAATGAATTTGGAGGGCATAAAACCCGATCGAATAGCCTTGATTGCGACTATTGATGCTTTGGCCGAGATCGCGTCTGCAGCAGACATTGTGTTGCTTCGAACTTGCGTTCACGAATTGGGTCTTGCTTCTGATCTTGTCTTGAAAAATGCACTGCTCAATTTATACAGCATCTGGCTGAATCTACAAGAAACAAAAACTATGTTCGAAAGACTTGAAACCAAAGATGTTATCACTTGGACTTGTATGATTTCTGCATATGCCCGAAAAGGGCATCCGGGCGCGCTTTTGCTGTTTCGAAGAATGGAGCTCGAGGGGATTGTGGCCAACGGAATCACATACATTGCCCTCTGTACAGCCCTTTCAAAGCTCCATCCGTATCATCACATTCGAATCAATCTCTTGGATCTTGAAACCCGGATTTCTCGATCTGGATTGCTTCCAATGGTGTGTTGCAGCTTGATCGAGATGTACGGGAATCTTGGCGACATAGAGAACGCAATGCGGGTCTTTACAACCTCCCTAGAACAGCACTGCAATGTGGTTGCTTGGACCGCGGCGATCAATGCTCACACACAAAATGGAAACCTTCGCAAGGCTTTGGAGATCTTTAGAAGAATGGATCTCGAGGGAGTCAGGCCCGACAACGTAGTGTTTCTTGCCCTCTTGGACGCGTGCATTGCGTTGCAAGATCTCAGCCAAGGCAAGCTCATTCATGAACGGATTGTGAGATTGGGGCTTAATTCGCATTCTAACCTTGTAAACACACTCATCAACATGTACGGAAAGTGTGATAGAGTTGACATTGCGAGAGGCATCTTTGATAGCCTCGATAAGAAGTGTGTGGTTTCTTGGACTGCGATGATCACTGCCAATGCTCAAAACGGGCATCCGCTAGAAGCCTTTCATCTCTTTTGTAGGATGTCCTTGGAAGGGATTCTCCCAACAAAGATCACTCTCATCACCCTTCTCGATGCGAGCTCGCTTCACTCGGACATTCTCCGCGGCAAGTTGGTCCACGAATGCATCGAAGATCTTGGCCTCGATCTCGAGGGCGCTTTGGGGAATGCTCTTGTCAACATGTATGGAAAATGCGGCAACACGAGTAAAGCTCTCTCGATCTTTGAATCAATGCAGTTGAGAGATGCCTGTGCGTGGAACACAATGCTTGCCGCATATGCCCAGGTCGGTCATATTCACTCGGCATTTGAAAAGCTCCAGGAAATGGAGCTCCAGGGAGTCCGCGCGACGGATACCACCTTCATCAACATCCTCTCCGCCCTGAGCCATGCCGGATCGCTCCACCGCTGCTGCGACTGCCTCATCTCAATGATCCAGGACTACAATGTTACACCCGCAAGCGATCACTACCGGTGTATTGTGGACATGCTTGCTCGGCTCGGGCAGCTCCAGCACGCAAACGAGCTCATGGAACTCATGCCTTTTGAGCCCACTGCCACGGCGTGGATGTCCCTTCTCGCGGCCTCCAGGGTCCACACCAAAACTTCATCCGTGGATCAAGTTTCTTGGGTGGCTGCCGAGCGGGTTTTCGAGCTGGAGCCCAGGAATGCATCTCCATACTTGGCTCTCTCCAACATCTACAAATGCAAGCGTGAAAGAATCTAGTGACTTGAAAGACAAAAACTATACATGTAAGTCGAATCTAAAGCTCGTGGGATCGAGCACGACGAAACGAGAGCCTGACCGATTTCAAGTCGTAGAGGACGTGATAGTTCTGCTGCATGATATTTCCAATGATGTTAATGCCCCCTCGCCCAACAGTTAAGCATGCAAGGTCGCCATCGACGGACATTACGTTCTCCTGGGGTGGCCGGAGCTCCGCGCCGTTAGCAAAGCGGAAGCTGATCGAGGGGAACCTGTAATTTTCGTGGCCCGAGGTGTTGAAGCACTTGTCCAAGTGTGGGACACTCACCTGCGGAAGATCGACCATGCTGGCGAAGATTTCCGTCACGTTGTAGGCACCGGTTAGAGATGTCACTGGGGAGCCCGAGTCGAAGACGGTCCAGCCGGTGTTGGCCTCAGACCCGGCCCACACGTCGTTCACGTAAACGCTGTGGAGATAGAGATTAGACTCGACACTAGAGCTGAAGAGGAGTGGCGTGCTCCGCGTGATCGAATCGGCCAGCTCAGTGCTGGGGATGACTGCAGGGAGAGCGCAGCGTCTCCAAAGAAGAGAGGGCTCGTTTCGCCTTGAGAGAGCCCAAAGATACTATCCACGTCTCTCACGGTCCCGGCGTCCTGAATCAATGCAGTTGAGAGATGCCTGCAAGACTGGACACTCCGGGAGCTGGAGGCGAGCTTGCCGAAGCACTTGGCTGGAGATCTCAGCGACGAAACAGGCATCAACTTCGGACAATCGTGTTTTCACTCTCAGCCCTGCTCCAAGTCGGGTGCTCGCGTCCTCTTCAGGCTCGCTTTTGCTCGAGTTTGAAGTTGGCACACACAGCGAGCTTGATCTCGGCATCACTTGAAGAGCTCCGGTGGATTGGTCTCGGGCTCGCCCTTGGCTGACAGCGGGAATGCAAGGGGATCCAATATGTGATATTGCTGGCTGTTTTGGAAGAGATCTTGATGTTGCTGTTCCATTCATACAGGGTGGTAGGCGAGGCAATCGAGCGCCGCCACGATGATCGATTCCTCCAGTCCTTCTAACTCCAAAGGGGCTTTGCCAAGGACGAAATGCCGAGCAGCATGAATGCGGGGGATAATCTCGTCCGGTGGGCGATCTAACAAAACGCCATGGATTTCGCAAACAAAGAAACCCCTGTCATATGGTTCAAGTACATGGTATGATTTTTTTATTACGGGAACCCGGTTGCTGAGATGATGGCTATCAGGTAAGTGTAGAGGTAAACCGTTGTACAAGACCCAGTCGCAGCCGACTTAATCCAGTGACAATATTAGCAAACATGGCATAGACAGAAAGGGACTTGGTGGGGACCGGAAAAAAGATATTGGCGAAAGTTATTCCTCTTGTCTGTGGGCATCCTAAAGATGCTAAGGAGTGGATCTGGGATGATCACTCATAAATGGATGGCTCAGTCTTTGAGAGACGGGACTGTGATGTAGGTGGTGTTAGACCACCGGTGTAACCAATGTAAATGGGTATGGCCTTAGCGTAACAAACTGATATGTCGGTGGTACTTTGGGGTGTCGGTCATGGGATCAGACACATAAAGCACTTGGACACAGTGCAATGGTTGAGTAGCTTGGATGTCATTCTTGGGGTTAGCAAGCCCCTAAGTTCAAAATAGGACTTATGGAGGTTGTGAGTGAGACTCCTTCAAGTGGTCGGAGGTGTGATTAAGTGACTAAAGTAGAATTGAAAATTTAGTCGCTTACATCTACTTCAAATATCAAATCGTGCATTTTCATGGACAGTCCATCTACTAGTTTTTTTCTTCTCAATTGGTTCTAAAACTATTAAGGCACTAATTTAATTAATATTTGAAGGAACAAAAACTAATGAAATGATGTTCCAAAATGACAAAGCAACAATGATCAGTGATAAAACCACCTGTTTCCTTTAAAGGAGTAGCTCGCACTACCCTAGCTTTTCAATTTTTATTTCTACAAATGTACCAAGTGTTAAATAATTATACTCCCACAATATACATATTATTGTTTGGAATCAACTCCCCTAAGTTGTTGTAGGCGAAAAGATTCCAAAATCAAAACTAGAACAATAAAAAGCTCATCAGATAAGATTGAGACTAAGTTTGAAACTAAGTCTGAGATTTGAGATTGGGTTCGAGAATTTAGATTTTTTGAGAAGCCACCCAGCCCAGTATTACTCAAACATAAGGAGACTTAACCCCCAAATATCCCAATACTCAAACCTAAGACGTTTTAACCCCCTAAGTATCCCAAACTAATTGGAAAAAAGGGTGTGCTTTTGTTATTTCCCTCTATATTTGAATTATAGATTGTCTCTCAATTTGTTCTTTTTAGTTATTTATAATTTACTATACTTCCTTATAAGTTCATGCTCGTTAATGGAAGTTGAAAGCCATAACTTTCCCAAGAGCTTTGCTCTTTTGACACTCTACCATTTATGTTGAACTTAATTGAAAGCAAATTAAATTTACTAAATGTCAATTTTAACATGTAGTGTAATTCTCTGTCATGTAATTCTCAACATATGATGTAATTCTTTGTCATGTAATTCTCAATATATAATGTAATTTTGTTATCTTTGATTACTTACAACTACCTAGTTTCTAGAGGGTGGTACAATGAGAATTATTATTTGTTCTATTTGATGCTAAATTTAATAAATCTTTATAATACATCCTAACATATTAAAATGTCAAAGCCACAAAAGTGTGCAATATTCCTGCCCAATAGTTAAAAGATAAATTACCCCATATAGAAAAAGAAATAGAATCACTTTGCAAAAACAGAAAAAATGTGTGTGTTAAGAGGGCTAAAATCACATTGCATTTAGTGTTAGGGCATTGTAAACTTGCTAATGGGCTCTTTGGTTTTAAATATATGAGAATGGTAAGCAAAATTCCCAACTTCACTAAGGGCATTCCTAGTTATAATAAATTTTCTTATTATTTAGTAATATCTTTTCAGGCTACTATCAATTTTACCAAAAGGTTCTGATCTCTTTTGTGATTAAAAGACTTGAATCAATTCATTATGAAATTTTTGCATAGACTATGCAATTCATTTCTTTTTTTTCCTTCACCTTGCTGTAAATAATGTTCACATTGAGCATGTCCAGTAACCATGACAATTCAAATGATCACCTTTATTTTATAGCAAACACATTGTATGCATCCCTGCATTTTCCATAAATTTTCCACTTAAAGAGAAAAATCCAACCCATAACCAACTACAACTTATGAATGTGATTAGCAGTTCAAAGAACTTCAAGAGAAAAACAAGCATCTAAAGCCATGAGAAGGTGATCTTTTTTTATCTTAGGCCTGCATTTTGCTCTATCAGAAATGCATATTGCAACTTTCCATGCCAAGTATATGTGCTAAATGACAATCGTCCAAGGCTCACACTAAAACATAATTGCACTTCAAGACTATTGCTCAACTAATAAGAACCCTTCCAGACACAAGTATGCATAGAGGTGGATTGCTTGCTTACCACACTCATGCGACACATAGACAGTGATCATCGTGTTTCATCCCGCTCAATCAAATGCATCTCAATGAGCCCACACTTTCCATACATATAAACTCAACTACTAGAAAGAATTCAAGCACAGATTTACTTGCCCTTGGAGAGAATCTCCCAGCACAGTGCAAACACCCATGGCCTTCAGAAGAGTGATCTCATTGCCCTCCATGCCTCCAAGGGTGCGAACTCTTACTCCAAGTACGTTTCTCAGTGGTCGAGGCTTTTGAGAGGTAAAATCGAACCCTATCCTCCTTTTGCCCTTTCTTTTGTCGATCTTCCAGCTCGTAAGTCCTCAAATCCCGAAACGATGATGGAAGAATCGCTTGGAACAGGTCCGGAAGTTTCGAATCAAAGAAATGGCAAGGGCGATGGAACAACGAGCGCTGGGGCGTGGGCGATCCGATCGCGCAGCTCGCCGCCAAGCCCGCTTGCAACT